TAAAAAATTACATATAATTAAATAGTGTATTTGTGATAAACCAAACGAACATATTTGTGTTATAAGTTTCATGAGATATATTAATTTAACTATTATATTTTTCGGCTTACAAGCGTAACTGTATGACGAGAAACTCGACCATTTTCAAGCCATTCTAGAGGCTTTTATTCATGAGCAGCATTCCGTGACACACGACGCGACGACTGTCACGCTGCTCTTGCTTAGCAACATAATAATTAATCTTAGATATTGTTCAGTACCTATAGGTATTCTAACATATTCTGGCTATGATTGTATCATAATTTCAGTGACAGCTGCCAATTCATTACGTCAGGATTATCGCGTGACTGAGTAACACGTCATGTTCGAAATGTAGAAGTCTTATTTATTACCAGTCTGTTAGACGTCCAGCCGTCCACGTTCATAAATGTCAGACAAAACTATTAAGTGGGTATGATAGACATACTTTTTCAGAATTACTATACATATAATTATGCCTCTAATATTTTGATGTTCATGGGTATAGATTTTATTTAAACTTATGATAGGACTAGCTTTAAAGCCAAGGATACACTTCGGGACAAATGTCCTACGACACGTGTCGCCAGCAACGTTGGGTGTAGTAGCGCGACGTTGTCAGACTTTGGTCGACATGTCTGTCAACATCAACGTCGCTGGGGACATAAGTCACGCGTTGTCGTCATATATTCGTCGCTTTATCGGTCGCCGTCGTCATATCAACTACATATACATGTCTTGGGATATTTGTTGCCCAGTGTATCATTGGTTTTAATCATGTTTTCATCAAATCCTCGAAAAAAATACATCTAACGATTCTACAAGTTGAGTTTGAATTTCTGTTAGGTTAGGTTAGGTGAGAGTAGATTTTCCATATTTATATTATTATAGTTAGTCGCAAAAATCAGCTCTACTCGTAAAATAATTGAAAAAAAAATCTTTAAGACCTAAATTTTTTTTAATAAAATTATAATGATTGGAATAAATCCATTTCAACCCGCGATAAAGAAAAATCACGTTCGAAAATCTTGCTAAAAAGTATCTAATCAAATAATAAAAGCTGGTTATAAAACATAGAATGATCTAGAACAAAGATAACTGTCCCAGGCAACTGAGGAGTTTTTGCAGAAATAAAAAAAGCTCTTACTTCGATACGGGGCGTCGTATAATAAAAGATGCAAACCGACGACGTTTGCGAGCCGTTCTTGTGATAACGCATATTGAAACCATACATTACTTCGACTCTTCTGTATTACCAGTACACCTGATACCAAATTGCTTGTTAGTATTCAATGTATCGCAGCCCCTTTTTTACTATCGCACGTTTAGAGATGATTAAAAAGTAACTGTAATTTAAGCGAGCGATACAATTTCCACACAACACTTTACCATGAAATATGCACTAGAATATTTTGTAATAAAAATGCTGCATTCGTGCGAATTATAATTACGTAACGAGCAGTGTTTGATGGCGTCATAAAATTTGCATTCGGGTTTTTTTTAATTAATAGAGTAGTTTCATATGAAGATAAAACATTTTAAATTGTTAATTTTCCCTTAAATGGTATAGAAGAAGATTAGATTCTACGACTGTATTGCGTCGACTTCTTGTTAAACATCTCAGACCTCAGGTTCCTAGCCCTATTTATTATACAGTAGTTACTACATTATAATAGGATAACTAATTACAGCACAATAATATTATATGTTACGTACCCATTGAGCAGAACCTTAGTACAAACGGTAGTGTTTACAAAAGACACTATTAAAAGTACATAATAAGTAATTAGAAAAAGTTGCTGGAGTATCTAAGTTAAAAAATTAAATAGAATTTCGTACAAACACTAAACTTAGTAGTCACCAAATATGAGGCGTAATAATTCATAAGACATTCGCCACAATGAGGTATATTTTTACATGTTTTATAGGAGCACTTTTACGACATTATAACTTTCGCAGAATAAAATATGTATGTACATATATCCACAAAGACGGTAGACGACTTTATCTGATGGCAACCAAAGACGATATAAAAACTATTAATACCTACTATATGTACTAATTATTCTATTATTGTATTATTATTTGACACAGCCTGTTAGGTCCTGACCTTATCTCCAGTGCGTAAATGTTTTTTCAAATCTCCTTAAACTGTCAAACACCAAGCGGTCACCGGTGACCGCAACCTATTGTTCTATAATTGTGTCTACAAAACCGGTACTCGACGAGTTAAACTGTCAAACACCAAGCGGTCACCGGTGACCGCAACCTATTGTTCTATAATTGTGTCTATAATGACGATATTCGACGAGTTAAATAAGTTGAGGCCACAGTTGACGATGAATGAATGTCATATTATAATTTGTTCATCAGAGCTAAAAACTGTAATATGATACATAGATAATTTGTTAATTAATTGAGGTATTTTTTCTGTTTATTACTTTGCTGCAATACTGTCGAATAATTTATTTAAAACAAACATGAATAAATACTTTTTAATGGTGAAAAATGAAAATTCTAATGTATTTTTCGTAATATTTATTCCAACCTCAGTCCTAAAACTCATTTCGTGACAAATAACGTTATTACTTACTTACTTCGGTATTTCCACTTGAAATTGTAAACTTTTGCAAGTGCCTGGTGTTTTTTTTTATATAACTCCCAAGGAATTTCAGCCAGGACAATCTTTGAATTTAGTTACTATACGCGTAACGGACGTCTGTCAATTCTGAAATATAAAGGTACATAGAATCGCCATTAATAACCTATACGTATACACCACTGACACTGGCAGTATAGTTGACAACACCGTTTTGGAGACTCGGTTGCCAAAGAGGAAAAAAAAACCTACGTTTTCCGATATTAAAACTTTGTATCTACAATTTACTAGCCTCTCCCCAATGCTTATCAATCACGGGTATTTATTTTAGTTTACAAACAAACTCATCGCCAACATAAACCAAACTCGAACTAGCAAACTGCGCATTATTCACTAAATTGGCTTCGTTTTTATTTATCTTCCATTCAGGATCCGCAATAACGAACGCAATTATTCAAAAACCAGTTGAAGTATTCTATCGATACTTATTCAATTCGATATTTGTTCGGCATCTAGGCGAGGAACAATGTTACATTTACTGAACCGTAGTATTGCCTCCGATTGTTCTGGATAGCGGCTAGACGAGTAGACGGGCAGGAGGAGGGCTGTCCTGTGCGTACTTCAAATAATGTATACTCAGCCCCACCGTAGCCGGTGTTATCTGAAATGAAAATCTTTAGTCATGAACACGACGAATTTAAGCTTTTCAATACATTGTTTGACTGTTATAAATAAAAATGGCGAATTAATAAAACTCCCGTGTCCCTTTTAATGATTTTCGTTTTTAATGATGTTCTGCTAAGGTTTTCTATAGGTAGACGTGAAACATTTTTTTCGGACAGCCATCATTAAAAAGTATGTCAATGTTATTTTATGTTTACGCATTCTGTGGAGCTTTTGATCCTTGGATCGATAGCACGATACCTCAGTTGAATGTACTGACCAATACCACGGTACCAAGGTACAGACTTCAGACTGAGTACAGCCTGAATAGTGCTTAAAGTGCGGCGACTTGTTCGTGCACTATCTCCGCCCGTCGGCCCCGCTCGTCTGCTGACACCTCACTTAGCACCATTTCCGTCTTGACTAGAGTGTACTAGCCCTCTGAATGCGTGCCTAAGATAACTAAATATCACGCGCGGATAACATGCTCTTTTGTGTACGCGAATATGACGTCACGCCTTATAAAATAAAGGCACGTAAACATCACTGTCATTCAGTCACTTGTGTTGAATATTCTTTGGAACATTATTATGCTATTTTAAAAACGGTTGACAAACATGTTTTTACATTGTTTAATAGGTAGGCACCTATTTGCAATGATATGCTTCACTATTATATACACCTGAATATATGTGAGGCGAAGAATACCCATAATTACAGCCACTGTTCGCTGTCAATTAAATACCGATTTTAATTAGTACCTACGTAGATAATATTCACTAACTGTACTGAGTAGTCGGTTGAGTAGAAGCTAATAATATTTCACCCCGACATTTCCATGCAAGTCAGTTGGCTGTGACGAACAAGGCGAAATAAATCATTTCAAATGAGCGTAAGACATTGGCAGAACGATCGGTCGGAATTTTTATTAACCGTCAGTTCTCGTGCGATCGTCTCGAAGCTAAATTGTTGTGCTAATATTGGCATATGCCGTTACTGTTTGCTCGTTGTCTTTATTCACCAATTTACTTACATTTGAGCTCGCCCCGCGGGTCGTAAAGTAATATTATCCACCGTTGGGCGAGGGCAATAGTGCCTCTTTTACGGGCCGCGAGCGAGCGTCACATGGGAAATTATTTGACGTGGCGTTTAATGGATTTTTGCCTTCATAACACGCTACCTACAGCCAAATAAAAATACTGGTACCTACCAACCCACTTATAGTTATACTTGCATATGTTAGTAGAAAAGCTTTTATTGGTAAAGGTTTTATGTACTTAAGTTGCATACACGTTTCCCTAAAATGATGCTATGCTTTTTCAGTTCGTTCTGTTACTATAGACAAACAGACATTATTCATTATATGTCCTACATGATAAAGAAAAGAATATAATTTTAGGTTAGGAAATTAAATAGATATTTATGTGACTACCAAAAACTGCAAAATAAGTAAAGCATAAACTGATTTTTAAGCATATTCTAACCTTATTGTCAACACAATGCCTTTTAAACTCACTCATTATTGGTGACTTAGTGATTGACTGACTAACAGAGCCTACACAGCTAAACGTGCTGATCTTTGACGTTGTAAATTATGTAATGTAGTTCCATAGGGAAACACTCAAGACATGATTTCTTGAAATTCTAACTGGGATAAACGATTTTTTCATGCTGTCAAGCTTATGTTGTCGTTTTTGTAACAAATGTATTTTCTTTGCAGAATACGGAGTTACCAGTTTGGAGCTACTGGAGTTGCGCGTGCCGGCGCACGTAGCGCTGGGCACGCGCGCGGCGCTGGCGTGCCGCTGGGCGCTGGGCCCGGCCGACGTGCTCTACTCCGTCAAGTGGTATAAGGACGGCAAGGAGTTCTTCCGCCACGTGCCGCGCGACCACGAACCTCGAAGGAAGTTCCCTTTGCCAGGAGTCGACGTCGAGGTATAAGCTGTTTCGTGTAACAACACGTGTTCATTATTTATCCTGATCTTGTATCTTTATGTATATCTTTGCTTACCTGTAATATCTGAATTAATCCTACTAATAGTATAAATGCCAAAGTTTGTGAGGATGCATGTGTGTGTGTTTTTTACTCTATCACGTTAAAACGGCTGAAGGGATATGAAATTTGGAACAGGGGTTTATTATGATCTGGAATAATATACAGGCCACTTTTTATATTACGGAACCGCGGACGAAACTGCTGGCAGAAGCTAGTATATGTATAAAACTACAGTGCCAAACTACTATAATAGGACTATTTACGGAAGTATTCCAAATTTGCTCTGTATGTACTTCTGATAGAATCTAGATCTAATACAGTTGTCATATCATCCTATTGTTTGGGTTGAATGGAATGTATAGCAAAACCGTGATCCAGAATACAGCGATCTCTTCCCGTAATTAGATTTCGTCTGTATATCAGAATTCAGAACATACAGTTTGCAAGAAGGAAATTTTTTATACACAATATTGATGCTTCTTCGAAAAGTCACTAAAATGTCAAATTACTCATACCTGCTTAAACAAAATTGATATAGACGTTCACGATACTGCGGTAAGTGAGACGAGCGCCGTATACCTTAGAAGTTCGGCTTTAAATCGATATTCATGTCACACTTTTAATATCTTTCGCGTAATATTGCCAACCACTTAGTTTCAAGAGTTTCGATACTTCCCTCCCCACCATGCAGGTTTGTTCTCAAACAATTGTGTAAATGCCGCGCCTGAACAGATAATACGGATGAACTTTTAGAGTAGATACGTATAATTGGATTAATCCGGTCGTGAGTCGAGTTTGCTTAGGTCTCCCCGAGAGGAAACAATATAAAACTGGACCGGATATTACGCGGTGAAGAGGCGCAGGTGTAAACACACGCGCTCTCATGCGGGACTCATTTATACTTTCTTTCATTTAGCTGCTGCCGCTTATCATCTACAACCCATTTACAAATTTTTATTGCTTTTTTATATTTATCGAGCAAACAAAACGTAATGAAAACAATATCTCCAAATAAATGTAACATTCACGAGAGTTTTTATGTGCGGAGGTATCCGCTCTTACATTATACACGTTTTATGTGCTACGGAACTCTATAACTCACACAGAGCATTACAAAAAGAAGTTGGAACGAGTTATTGCACGGGTTAATAACTGTTAGCAGATTTTTTGTAAATCCTTTTAGTGAAAGTATCGCTAATAGATATTTTCCTAAGACCACCCTGTTTACTCCGGCGGTTTAATAACGAACAAACAGAAAATAAACTCTAAGAGCGTTGCAAAACATTGGCGAGAATCTGGGAAAAATTTATGACGGGGCTTTACGTATGGAGGTAAATAATTTAGATGGGAAAATAGCCTAAGGTTACTTTGAACTTTGTAAGCAATTTAAATCTATATATTAATGGTGGGCCACAAGTCTCGGAACCGGACCGCCGGCGGGAAGAGCTAATGACAACGTTATAATTAGCGGTGCGCGCTGGGCGCCGCGCTGGGGCCTATACATTAGCGGGCCTTGTTTACTTAGCTCACTGCGCTTACGCTTTATTTCCACTGTTTATCCTCAGCCGCCGCAGATTGGATTAAGTGTTTAACAACATTTTTTGGTAATAAGAATTTTTCGTCGGCGTTTTCATAAGTTTAATCAAGTTATATTGAGTTATTCAATTAAGCGAGAAGTCAAACAAATAATTTTAGGTAAGATTTTCTTATATTAATTTGTAACAGATTTCCGTCTTCCAAGTTAATCAGGAGTTTAAAATTCTTAACTTTTGTGTACACTTAACAAGTTATTGTCAAGTGTTTCTTATTCGTTAACGTAGCCCCGATTATGAGGGCGAAAATATTATTGTTATGTCATCTTTATATATCTAATTCTTCTGTGAGTGTGTATGTCACTGAACTTCTCTCAAACGACTGGACCGATTTTGATGAATTTTTTTATGTGTGTTCATGGGGATCTGGGAATGGTTTAGATTCACAAATCAGCCCAGCATATGGCGCTGCAGTCGATGTTTAGGTTATTTATCCTAAAAAGCTGAACAAATTTTTTTTATGGCATAAGCCGGTAACCGAGCAGACGGATCACCTGATGGTAAGCAATCGGCGTCGCCCATGGATACCTGGAACACCAGAAGCGTTACAAGTGCGTCACCGGCTTTTTGGGGATTAGGAGTTTGAGGATCGTTGGGGAATCAGGGATTGGGGAGATTGGGGAAGGGGAAGGTAATTGGGCCTCCGATAACCTCACTCACACGACGAAACTCAACGCAAGCGTTACTTCACGTCGGTTTTCTGTGAGGCCGTGGTATCACTCCGGTCGAGCTGGCCCATTCGTACCGAAGCATGGCTCTCCAACACTTAAATTAATTTGAATGAATTTTTGTTTATATATTCAAGTGGATATGCAGTACAACGTCTGTTGGGTCCGCTAGTATACATATATAGTAGTTAAATAATTTAGCATGTTAACACGAGTCATTAAGTAATGACACTGAAAAAAGTAGATACTTTCGTACATAAAATAGTTATAATAACATTCGATAGGTATATCTTTTATATTCTACATATTTTTCTGATAAAACAACATTTGCGATACCAAGAAATGTTTAATAGTGTTGCAATTTAATTGGAAACACAACCTTTTCCTGACAATTTATTTTTTAGCAAACAATGGTTGTTTTTGTTTCATTTAACTTACTGTAACGAAATAGGTTTTCTAAAAATAGGTTCTTTTGTAGATTAGGTACGTCTACGATATGACTAGGTTTATTTAGGTTACACGGCAATTTTACAGTGTTTTTTTAGGTCTTTTGTAAGTTACGTTTCTCAAAATCTTGATTAGGTTCACGATTTATATATTAATCCCTGTAAAGAATTGAATAAAGTTGTATCTCCTGTCTATCTTTACCATAGAATAGATATTTTTTATCAAAGTACTCTAATCTCACCTTTTATCCGAAATATGGCCTTTTTATCATTAACATTTTAAAGGTTACACAAGTCAAATTAGTAATATCTAAATTTGGATACGAACACAAATTAAGAATATTGTATTAGTTACAATTCTGATTGAGGAAAATCCTCTTCTCATTAGAATGAGAATAACTGAAGAATTAGAATAAATAGAATAAAAAATATTAAATTGTTTTAATCATCTTAAATTGATGAAGCTGATATTAGCAAATTCAAAGATACTATCGTAAGACCTACTAAATTTACTAAAAATCGCGAGTTACTCACGTGAATATAGAAAGCTCTGAGAAAAGCTCTAGGTACTAGTTTCGAACCACAGAGGGGTTCTTCCTTATGAGATGATGTCGCGCAGCCTAGTCTTGACTGGGCGACATCGCCGTAGGCCGCGCCTCGCATCGCCGTGAGTAACCCACGATTTTTAGTTAATTTAAAAATACTATCGTCATCAGCTATCCAGACCTTACTGAAGCGCAGTTAGATAAACTTGAGCGACTCCAAAATTTCTGTATAAGGTTTATATTTGGCTTACGAAAATATGACCACGTTTCCGAATACCGAGCTAAACTCAAGTGGCTGCCGATCCGCCTTCGCCGGAATACTCATATCCTATCCCTTCTCTACAATATACTGTTTAATCCTACTACGCCATATTACCTTAAAGAACGTTTCAAGTTCTACCATGACACACATTTTAGACCAGTACGGTCGTCGGGAGATCTGAGACTTGAGATGCCCCAGCATGAGAGTAAATCCTACGACAAATCGTTTACAGTTCGAGCTATTCGACTGTGGAATGCACTTCCCCCTTCCATAAAACAAGCAAAGTCACTGGTCACGTTCAAGGCACGCGTGAGGGAGCATTATCTCTCCACACTGTAGTTCATTGTTGTTTCTTCACCTAGTGTCACCTATCTGTCATTGTATCTTGTTTCTAAATGTACTTATGTATGTATGTATGTATGTATGTATGTATGTATGTGTGTGTATGTAAGTATATAATTCTATATTAAAAGTAAATAAATTTGTTTTTTAATGTTTACTCTTTTACATTATATAAATAAGCACTGAGTACGCCAAGCTATAACTACCTCATTTAATATCCTACTATATTATTCTATCCACCCAAAGGTTGCCTGGTAGATATCGCTTTTAGCGATAAGGCCGCCTTTGTACCCTATTTTCTTTATTTGTTCCTTGATGTACTGTCTCAGATTGGTGTACAATAAAGATTATTTATTATTATTATTATTATTATACTATCAAAAATTATTGTACACGTACGCTAAAAAACCACCAATTCTCCTGCAAAGTTACAAACAAACTAGTTTCTCTACAAAAAAAAACATTTTAATATTACAAACTCTTTTCGTTTGTTTGTCTTAGAAATCAAGTCCAAATGGTGCTAATATAACGCTCTACCCTGCCGTGTTGGAGACGGGGGGCCGCTACCGGTGCGAAGTGTCGGGAGAACGGCCCCTGTTCCCTACCGTGTCCGATCATGGAGACATGGTTATTGTTGGTAAGAAGTTTGTGTATGTATGTTAAGTTAGTATGATAGTTACGTATATTATGTCTATACTTGTTTTGTATATTTAAGAAAATTTAACGCATCATTATTTTTAATCAAAAGTTATATTAAACTAAAATTATGATTTAGAAAACATGTAATAAAGAATCATTGCTCGTAAGAATTAGCTTTTATTGAAACAATTACATTTATAAAACTATTAAGCTTCTACCGAAGTATTTAATACGAAGAAACAATTAATGGGTTTACTTTTAGACAGAATTGTATAAAAAACTAAAATATTTTTTATGAATTATTAATTGAACACTGACATTATGCAATCGGTGCTCAAAAGTTTACAAAACAAAAAAAAAATTTAAAAAGGTTCGTTACAGATTCCAATTTCAATTTAAACAAAATGGCTGCTTAGTTCATTGGATGTACCTCATGACGTTTGCTCCCAAAGTGAATTCCAATTTGGAGATGGAGGGAGAGGACGGAACATTAGTTTACTACCTTACTCTGTGGAATTGCAACACAATTAAGTAATCGCATCCACTACATTTTTGTACATTATTTAAGTAACTTAGGTACTTGTTACAGTAACTTAGTTATAAATGGAATTCCATTTGTTAATAAAAATACTTTCCTTGTTCTCGAAATTTTATTGGTTGAGCATACATTTCTAGGAAAACGACTAAAAATAGAATTATTACATAGTAATGTTCTGCTTTGTTATTTATTCCTATAGCATAAACTTGTAGGTACATTTCGCTCAAACATTGCCATCAATTTCCACATACTAAAATTAATCATCTAGTTTCAGTTTTCTGCGATATATTGTAGGAATACTCCATATTTTGTAAACTTTCCAGAGAGACCTGTCAGAATCTGCGATTTTCCTTTTATAATAACGCTATAGAAATTAAAAAGACAGAATATTTAATATTACCTTTTCTTCTCCTAGCTCTTCCTGACCACGGTCCCACAATCACAGGGTCCCGTCTTCGATACCAGATAGGAGATAGAGTCCAAGTCAATTGCACATCAGGTCGGTCCAGACCCGCCACAAGACTTGCATGGTACATCAATGGAGAACCAGCCCCCTCTATAGCTCTCGTGCCACCCACGCACGAGAAGCATGAAGACGGACTAGAAACCACGAGTCTGGCGCTCGACTTCAAAGTGAAGCCTAAACATTTTAGGAAAGGCGACCTAAAACTTAAGGTAAAAAGGCTTAAATTACTATTTCACAACATTCTATAACAAGATATTTTTCGTCGTAACGATTGAAGGAAAAAACGCTAAATAGGTATCGTCCTATTGTCGTCGACATTGTATGTTTACTTTACAGAATTTTAGTCTTAAAGTAGGTAGTCATTTGGTATATTCATGATCTGGCACAAGGCATGGCATGTGGATAAGTAATTTGTGAAGCCAGATTACTGAATCCAGCGCGCCTTCAAACTCGAATGTTCGATAGCACTGCCGAATTAGTGTTGAGCCAAATTTCCGACCTTTCAGCGCCTAAACGGAGCTTTGTTGCATAGTTCTGGGAACTCGTCCGTTCGAGGACTGAATAAATTAATGACTAATGAGAACAACTTTGATTTACTGCAGTGATCCTTAAGTTAATAGAATACACAATAGGAACCGTCGAATGAAAATGAACTGCTATATGTTTATATATGGGAACAAAGAAGAAAATTAATAAGTAGAAATATGTGGTATATTTAACAATTCTTTGCACTTTATTAGAAGAAGTGATCAACTTGAAATGACCATGAATGGCGGGTGAATAACTCGACAATATTTTTATACAATTTGTAGAAAAGTCAAGGGTTGATGACACATAAAATGTGGTTTATATAATTAGGTCATACGTAGGGACGTAGAATTCGGTTAGTTGCCGTGACAACCCCTATATAGTACCCCTCACGCAATCTACGCTTTGCTGATAACCCTAGCGAAAGTATATTGGGATTTTGTTGATATTATTACATACTTGATCTAAGTTATTGGATTTTAAGTAGATTAAAGGTAAGACTGTTGTTTGTTTGTTAGTAATGGCTATAATATTGTTTCAGTGTCTGGCAACAATAGCAACAGTGTATTGGCGGAGCAATGAAGAGAGTGTGCAGGGTGAGAGACTGAAGGGGTACTCCAGGTCCAGGGAGCTCACTGAGAGCTCCAGAGCTGACAGGGTGCAAGCGGCGGGGAAGCCAGGCAGTGCAGCCGCTACCCACGCCATCACACTCTACCTACCCCTCCTCTGTGTCATAATACACATATCACACCACAAGTACCATTCGTAAAAGAACAATTTTTAAAACAAACTATTAGTGAAGTTTTGTAGCTAAATAAAGTGATGAAATGTGCTAAAACTTTCGAAATAAATGCTTTATTCAATGCGACTACGAGACTTAGGCTTATACGAATGTATCCAATTTTGCATGTCTGACTAATCTAAGTGATGTACTAATAGAATAACCGTTTACAAATCCCGCTTCGTGATGTTACGTGTGCCATCAATGTCAGAATAACAATCAGTATTTTAATTTTAAACCTCGTGCATAGTTCCAAAGGTAACCAAAGTACTGTAACAGTCTACCATTTTATGATTTATTATAGAATTTCAGATGAAATATTATGTACATCTCGTCATTCCAATTAACGGTGGAAAACCGTTGTATGTTGTATATAAATTATAAGTACCTACCTAAGTATCTCATTTCATAATATTAACATATCATTATCGTTCACTAACTGTACTTTATAAACGCAATTAATATTGTAGAACCATGCATTTATTATGTGTACGTTGCATAAGGATACAACTGGTTGTATGAATAGGATATATTTTACTTTACAGTGAAATTCTGAACTATGGAGCATGGACAAAAATGATCTAAGGATTATCAAACTGATTGACCATCTTAGTTTCTACTTTGCGACAATCGCTATATTAAAAACATATTCTTAAATTTAAGTTAAGTTCGGTCGTGTATGGAGTACTGCTCCCATCTTTGGGATGGCTCGGCGAAATACCAGTTAGAAGCCCTCGAATCCATCAAAAAGCGTGCCAAGAAGCTCATCAATGACGATTCGCTTGCGGAGGCTCGGCTACAAAGCCTCGAACACAGGCGCAAGGTCGCAAGCCTTTCGGTCTTCTATCGGATACATTTCGGTGAGTGTGCGTGAGAATTGCACAAACTTATTCCCCCTAGTCCATTTCACCACCGTACCACCAGATGAACGGCGGGGCGCCACCTTTATATGATGGACATTCCACCCATTCGCACGAAGCGTTTCGCGTCAAGCTTCCTCATGCGAACCGCTAAGGAATGGAATTCATTGCCAGAGGCTGTGTTTCCCGTCAAATATGACTTGGGTGTCTTCAAGTCCCGAGTGAACAGGTTGCTCATAGGTAGGCGTGCTCCATCGTCGGCCACATCATTGCTTACCATCTGGCGAGATGGAGGTCAAAAGTCGACCTATAAAGTATAAAAAAAAGAATTAATTTATCTTAAACACCTAGTTCAAAAAATCGATTCGTCCTCGTTGTGTCTAAATGAGTTTTACTTTGTTCATGTAAATTGCTGCAATCATCGGCTGTGCCCGACGCACGTGTAGTTTATGACATTGGAGGTGACATCCATCGTGAAACGGTGCGCAGTGCGTTAAACGAGAATATCCATTTTATTTCAACACAACACTCGGTGAAGTTATTTATAACATCAAACGCGTGTGATGGTTTGATGCGATCTTCACACTATACATCTTAATCTCTCCTAATACGCCTCTTAAGTGTTTGCGGAGTATTTTTCAAACAAGTGTCAGACAGTTTTCGCCTTTATTCTACGCATGAACGTTTCCCAGGTGATTGGTGCAACTTACAAGGGAAGTAAGGCGGGGTTAAGTTTCGAACTTGCGATCAGGCAATACAATATAGCAGCGACTAGGAAAACTTTGCTTTACAAGAACTCTTCGATAGACAAACTCACTCTCAACGCTTTTGTGGCTAAGGGAGCTAACGTTAAAGGAGCGGTTCTAGTGTACTTTTATGGATTTTATTTGAACTCGTGTTTCCTTATTTTCAGCTAGTTACATCACTAATAATGGCGGGTGAATAAAAACAAACGAAACGACATAATGAAGGGAAAATATTAGCCAATAAAAATATTGTGCGTCATTGTGTCTTGTAGGTACAATGTTTTGGTAATATTTTCATACTTTACGCCAGGCTAGTAAATATTACTGTGTTCGTAATTACACGGCTATTGTAATTACTTTCCTGGTAGCAATGTTGGGTAATATTTTGGCATCCCAATATATGTAAATTGAACGAAATAACGTGTATAAATTCATTCGAAAACAAACAACTCCATTTAGTTAATCTACTTAAATGAAAATGTTTAACATAAAAATATTATTTAAAATTATGTAGTACATATTTATAAAGCATAAAGAGATATATTACAATGTATATATTTGTAAATTAATTATATTTATAGTTAGGTAAAAACTTATTTTATAAGTTGATGCGTCACTCCAGTAATTTGTTTTAATTTAATTATAAGTGAAGGTATCATTAAAGCGTGAGTACCATGATGGTCCTGCAGTTAATGTTCGTCGCATCAATTTCTAGAATTTGTTCAATTTTATATTTACCTAGTCACCATTATACAATTTTAATGTTTCTAAAGCGACTGTTGTTTTTATGTGACGTTCCAATTTCGGTCTACTTACTATAATTATCTTTGCTTTTTGTAAGATAAACTCGTTACATGATTCAAGTATATTATTGAATGTACAGGGATAAATGTTAATAAAAAATTCTAGTTCAAGAGAAATAATACAAAAAATATGGAAAAATAAGCAAATTATTTCTGAAACAAGAAGGTATCCGTTAGAGAATTTCCTATCCACTGACTTAAGATTTCCTTATTCTACTATCATTATAAGCATATTTTCCTTGAAAATAAATACGGTTTTCCTTGAGTTGGAAAACAAAAATGTTTATTTTACTCTTCGTGATTTGAACGCATATCAATTATGTAAAAATGAAGATGCAAAGGAAATGGCGAACTCAGCCGGTGAAACCCCATTTTACCGCATTCTGCCGGTTCTTACCGGCTTAAAACCAGCATTTTGAAAGCTTCCATTCATCTAACTCGTTCTCATTCATTTAACGTGGTTTTGCTAAAGGATTTTGGCCTACAGTTTACTGAACTGAATCTAGAATAGATAATGTAAGCACTTATACAGCCATCTCTACAGCCTCTGATACAAACTGTGGAAAAAATATGAATTCAAAATATGTAAATGTATTTCAAATCTGTCAAAGTACAATTTTAAATTAATGCCACAACATGTCCACTACAACTTTAAAATTAAATGAGGAATATATGTAAATATGCATGTAGTCAATGTATCGGCTTGTGTCACTGTCGGGTTGTAGTTCAATAGCAATCACGAATAATGCTGGAATTCTCGATATTCACGTTGCTCATTGCCGAGCGAAACCTCCATGGTTTGAACCAATATCAACCTTGATTGCATCAACATATCGCCCAATTTCGGATTAATAAATCATATTTATAAGTTACATTGAGATGATAATAAATGAAAGACATATTATTTTTATCCTTTTAAACAAGTTTGAGAATAAGAGGATACGTTTTTTTTATTCTATAGTCAGAATTTTAATTAGATTCCAGATTTGACAATAGCTACTGTCATTTTGTGAAATAATGATACCACATATAATAGTGTAGTGATGAACACAAAAATCGATAAACAATCAGTGTGTGTGTTTTATAATAAATGTTACAAAAAGTGACAGGATAGCGACAGCGATGACGGCGACAATTTATAAAATAACTTATTACCATAATACATCTATTTGTTTTATTTGTCATGTTCCCTCATGATTACATTTTTTCATTTATTTCACACAGTTATAAAAGAAAAGTCTCAGATCGTTAATTAATCGTCAAAACTAAATTATCGGTTCAGAAATATTTAATTTCCTGATATATTTAGTTTACGAGACTAAAATTATAAACGAGAAAAATCGATCCAGAAATTTTGCATTTCCATATCGAATAATTTCGTAACGTCACTATTTAGTACTTGTCATAACATTGCAACACTGAAATTGTCAAATCTGGAATCGAATTAAAATTCCGAGTATAAATTTGTTTCCAAAAGTATCGCAAAAAGATTTTTTCAAGTCTAATCATTTATAGATGCCAATGTGTAATTTTAAATACATAAATCAATAGACGAACTGTACATTTATTCATGTTTTATATTAATAAAGTGAGGAGGCACGGGAGTATATTACCTATATAATTGTAATATAATTACTATTAAGATATAATTATATAATTTTGTGGAATGCAGTTCATAAAGTACGCAGTTATTGTTGCTTATTGTTATTGAATATTTATAGCGTATAAATACGAGTTTGTACATAATGAATATACCGTGTAGCTCAAAAGAATTGAATATAAATAAATCATGTGACATAATTACTGAGGAGTTGTTATTTTTATTCTTATCTAGCTTCTGCCATCGGCCTTGCCCGCGTTCGCCTATGTATTAGTTTTAGGGAACAGAGAGCATAGTTCCCTAAGATCGGAAAAGGAGGATCCTCCGACCAGGCGAGGTGATCGCGCCTGGCAGGCTTTCTGCTCAAGAGTTGTTCGTTGGGATTTTCTACTCGTGTTAATTCGATTGTAAACTTCGTATGTGCGATGTAGGATTTTATGACGTCATCCGTTGACATGTGACATGTGTCGCCACAAGTTGTTACTCCAGGTCATAGTCTACCCCTCCTATAATTTGTATACCGATCACTTCAGTCATTCTGGAGTGAAGGACTAACAAACAAACGAGCAAACGTAAAAACTTTCACATTTATGATATTAGTTTTTATTCCTATTTAGTTTTAATTTCTTAAACTGTCAAACACCAAGCGGTCACCGGTGACCGCAACCTATTGTTCTATAATTGTGTCTACAAAACCGGTACTTGACGAGTTAAAATTATAATTCAAAGATGTAGGTAATCATTTTACGTAGTAAGTGGTAAGTACCTATGTATTGCTGCATTATTTTTAATTTTCATTACCTACCAAACGAAGTTACATTACTTATTTTACGCCAAGCCTTGATCCGATTCAAGTACCTATCAGTCAATATTTTTTTTTTCTATGGATAAGTTGGTAAACGACTAAACGGATCTCCTGATCGGTAAGCAATCGGCGTCGCCCATGGACACCTGGAACACCAAAGGCAATACAAGTGCGTTACCAGCCTTTTAAGGATTAGGCATTTGAGGATTGTTAGAGATTCAGGGATTGGGGAGATTGGGAAAGTGGAAGTGGGTAATTGGGCTCCGGTAACCTCACTTACACGATGAAACACAACGCAAGCGTTGTTTCACGTTGGTTTTCTGTGAGGTCGTGGTATCACTCTTGCCGAGCAGGACAATCATGCCAAAGCGTGGGTCTCATTTCAATTTTTCGATTACAATTAGCACCGAGTTTGGAATTTCTATACGTATACTTCGACTGCACGGTTGGTGCGGTGGCTACGCAACCGGCTGCCGTGCAACGTGTCGCGGGTTCGATTCCCAAAGTTCGATCGATCAAAGTTCGATCACACAAAGTGTTTCCGTGCGGAAACACTTTGTGTGATCCACAAATTGTTGTTTCGGGTCTGGGTGTCGTTGTGTATGTAAAGTTGTATGTTTGTAAACGCACCCACGACACAGGAGAAAATCCTAATGTGGGGAAACGTTTAAAAAAATCTTTTTTACCCTTTCGTGGATCAAAAGATTGCACCTACATTATTTACGCAATATGAGCATAATAAAAACACAACTGTTCTGCACATTTCTTATATTAAATTAAATAAGAACTTTTAATTACTGAACATAATTTAATTATACCACATAACAATTTAATCGTGACGTGTATAATAGTAACGTTTTAAGTACACAAGCAGTTTTTATACATATGTTGTATAAAAATGGTATGTAGGTTATGTACAGCGTTTAACTTGTATTAACGCTTTATACAACAGTTTTCAAGTAGGTAATATACTTGGCGTGTATTATTTGCTCCCTCTTGTATATTGAGTTGCATTTTAAATGGAACTTGTATTAATATAGTATACGTTGTTAATATATTAATTTTCGTTTGCTTACTCCTACGCTGTAAAACTAAAGATTTATTATTCCGTTAAAAGCTTATATTATAATCTGCGATGTTTTGAGAATATTGAGCAGCGAAATTAATTTTAGACTTAAATACACGACCATTTCCATATTATTCGGAAGT